GATAAAGTGAAATATGATTCAGTGACATTTGCTTTATGAGGTCAACACTGCTTTCAGGTTCTGTCCTTATGGCTTCCAAATCATTCCTTCCAGACATTCATACCATCATCCATCAGATTTGTTAGGTTCAAGTGTTTATAAAGAACTGGTGATCACTGGATATGATATGAAAATAAGACATCATTCTTTGAGGTCATGCACTAGTAAATTCATTTTACCTTTACTTAAAGAAAAGTTTAATTTGACTTTTTTATTTTTCCCCAGAGTGCACATTCATCATCTTGGATAAGCAGCGATGGGCAGATCCCAGTATAGAAGAGTAGCAGTGCATGGTGGGAGATGTCAACATGTTCCTGATGGCTCCAACAGACCTCTCCTCAGCTGAGCTGGAGATCATGATAGCAGGTGATGCCCAGAGTACTTATCTTAAGTGACTCAAAATCAAAGGCTGAGCAAATATCTACAGTCAGCCTGTGTTGTGGTTTGTACATCTCAATCATTTCCTGTGTACATCTCTTTATAGGACACTATATTCTCCTTGTTTTCTACAGAGGCAAGGGCACTGGGAAGGAGGTGACAGACATGTGCTACAGTGAGCATCTGATCTTTCAGAAGGTTTCGAGGAGGAAGACAGAAGCTTAAAGTCACTGTGTAGAAGTTGAAATTTTCCACACTTGTTGAATTACTGCCCATTTTTCTGCAATTCAGTCTTGTGCTGTGTTTCATTGGTTGGAGAAATCAACCTGTGGTGGAGCAGGAAAAATAAATGCAACATCGCTATGAGAATGCAGACAGCAGTGGATGGGATTGATGCAGGTGTATGGTTGTAAGACAACTTGCAGAATAAACTTTTAAATAGTATTTGTGTGTTTGTCAGGAAAGTAAACTGCTCCGACCATTCAGTACTATCCTATGTTGACAAAATAATGGCACATCACTCTGTTTTGATTCCCTAGATATGAACTACATTTGACAGCATGTGAAACTAAATTTACATTTATCTCTCTACAGTATTTATTTGAAACCCCTCTTTATTCATACTAATTAGTGGTTTGATTTTATTTAATAAAATGGTAAGAATAAGCCACAGTTTTTCCTGTTCCTTCTCTGAGCAAGCAAGCCTGTCCTTTAGTGGTGGCACACAGCATTACACTAATCTTAAAAGTATGACCCATTACTACCTGCTAGTCAAATGAATGGCAGTTTAATGGTACAAATAGCAACGAAGCAGCTTTATTTTTGTCATTGTAACACAACGAAATTTTGTTGAGCTGAGGGCCCTGGGCCACTGCGTGCATATGTGCTGCCATCAAACAATTTGTGAGCATGTGTAGGAAAGATTTGTGCGTAAAGATGTTTTTGAACGTGTGAATAAAATTTGTAAAATTTTATTACACAAAGCCACTGAGAACAAGCATGTTTGTGAACATCTGTGTACAGACAAAGTAACAAATTGTGCATACAACTCAATTTGGAAGTACTGAGGTTTAGTGTGAATCACTCGACATGCAGGGGAGCTGGAGGGCAGAGGACAGACTTCTTCTGCAGTAAATGTACACACAGAACATGCGCTTATTCATCCTCTAAAGCAGTCGTTATAAATCTGAAGGCTTGCCAGACTTCGCCTTTAGCATTAGCTTTTTTCATGTGAATAACTGGACACCTTTGTCTGAAAACTACCTAAATAAAACAGAGAGAAGAAAATCTTTGGTTGAACCGATCATACAGCAGTGGCTGGAAAGATAAATCTGAGAAGTTAACATTCTGAGTTTTTACAATACCTACATAAATAAGCTAACACACTGTCCAAATAACAGAAGCTTATTTAATACAACTTATGAAATGATAAAGTGAAATATGATTCAGTGACATTTGCTTTATGAGGTCAACACTGCTTTCAGGTTCTGTCCTTATGGCTTCCAAATCATTCCTTCCAGACATTCATACCATCATCCATCAGATTTGTTAGGTTCAAGTGTTTATAAAGAACTGGTGATCACTGGATATGATATGAAAATAAGACATCATTCTTTGAGGTCATGCACTAGTAAATTCATTTTACCTTTACTTAAAGAAAAGTTTAATTTGACTTTTTTATTTTTCCCCAGAGTGCACATTCATCATCTTGGATAAGCAGCGATGGGCAGATCCCAGTATAGAAGAGTAGCAGTGCATGGTGGGAGATGTCAACATGTTCCTGATGGCTCCAACAGACCTCTCCTCAGCTGAGCTGGAGATCATGATAGCAGGTGATGCCCAGAGTACTTATCTTAAGTGACTCAAAATCAAAGGCTGAGCAAATATCTACAGTCAGCCTGTGTTGTGGTTTGTACATCTCAATCATTTCCTGTGTACATCTCTTTATAGGACACTATATTCTCCTTGTTTTCTACAGAGGCAAGGGCACTGGGAAGGAGGTGACAGACATGTGCTACAGTGAGCATCTGATCTTTCAGAAGGTTTCGAGGAGGAAGACAGAAGCTTAAAGTCACTGTGTAGAAGTTGAAATTTTCCACACTTGTTGAATTACTGCCCATTTTTCTGCAATTCAGTCTTGTGCTGTGTTTCATTGGTTGGAGAAATCAACCTGTGGTGGAGCAGGAAAAATAAATGCAACATCGCTATGAGAATGCAGACAGCAGTGGATGGGATTGATGCAGGTGTATGGTTGTAAGACAACTTGCAGAATAAACTTTTAAATAGTATTTGTGTGTTTGTCAGGAAAGTAAACTGCTCCGACCATTCAGTACTATCCTATGTTGACAAAATAATGGCACATCACTCTGTTTTGATTCCCTAGATATGAACTACATTTGACAGCATGTGAAACTGTAAATTCTTACATTTATCGCTGTACAGTATTTGAAACCCCCTCCCACTTTATTCATACTAAATATTAGTGGTTTTAGATTTTATTTAATAAAATGGTAGGAATAAGCCACAGTTTTGCCTAAAACATGTCTTAACTTTTTCCTGTTCCTTCTCTGAGCAAGCAAGGCTGTCCTTTAGTGGTGGCACACAGCATTACACTAATCTTAAAAGTATGACCCATTACTACCTGCTAGTCAAATGAATGGCAGTTTAATGGTACAAATAGCAACGAAGCAGCTTTATTTTTGTCATTGTAACACAACGAAATTTTGTTGAGCTGAGGGCCCTGGGCCACTGCGTGCATATGTGCTGCCATCAAACAATTTGTGAGCATGTGTAGGAAAGATTTGTGCGTAAAGATGTTTTTGAACGTGTGAATAAAATTTGTAAAATTTTATTACACAAAGCCACTGAGAACAAGCATGTTTGTGAACATCTGTGTACAGACAAAGTAACAAATTGTGCATACAACTCAATTTGGAAGTACTGAGGTTTAGTGTGAATCACACCTGAATCTGATTGGACAAAGATCAGGGGATAAGGATACAGAGCACTTATTAGGTTTTTAAAGAGCACAGCATTAAGCAAGATAATATAAAGTGAACTGAGTGAGGTTATTTTGTTGTAGGTAGGGGCCATTCTGATCCACACTCCAGTCTAGAAGGTGGCGGTAATGCACCTAAAGCTGTTTGCCAACCGCTGTTAAGTAACAGAAGAATGGACAGTGACAGTCCAATCACAGACCAGAGAATCTGAATCAAATTGTCCAATCAAGTGGTAGCTGGGTTTTTCAAGTTTGTCTCTGGTGGCAGTTCTGCAAGTTTGGTTGTAAATTTAAGATGGATGCCAGCAGGATCCGTTCTGCTACCCAGGTGGGTTGAAAATTGTAGAAAATCACAGTAAGCATTTCATGCATTTGCGTTCTGTGTGTAGGCAGTGTGCAGGTGCTTCGCTGTTAACAGTTGTCCAAATGGATGTTTTCTATTCCAGGTGGGATACTTTATCTAGCGTTAGCCAAATGCTAATGTAGGAAGTTAGCAAACCTCTGCTAGCAAGAAAATTTTCAAGAGTAACTTTAGCCGTCTGGTACTCTATTGCTTTGCTTGAGCCTGTCAATTGTCAGGCTCATTGTGAAACTTTCTTGATCTGTGAAAAATCTGTAAAAAGACGCCGACCGGTTTGGACTTCACGGGTCTTCATCAGGGCGGAAACATACACCTGTATGTTTCCAATCATGCTAGTTCTCTTGTAGTTACATGAGTGGAGAAGTCTGCACAACTGTGATCCAGGCACATGCAGTGTAACAGCATGGAGAAAATGTGAGGTCCTCTACCTTGATGATCACCAGTAGGGTTTTCCATCTTAACTTCAGCAGCTGGCTGTGCTGGGATGGAAAGCCTGCAAAAAAGGGAAAGTTTTAATTTCAATAATAAATTGTCCATTTATAAAACAAACCTGCCCATCTATGCATGTCCTTAATGCTGCAGTGATTGGCCACAGGATGACATCTGGTTAAGGATTGCCTAAGGGGGAAATGGGAAAGCTTGACTTAAAAGTATATCCTCTATAAATTCCTGTTTTGATAGGTTTGCTTCATTTTGAACAAAGGCTTTTAGTGGGCACATTATTTGTACCTGGGTAGTGAAGGAGGAAAACAAAAACTTTAAGTACCAGGCATCATCTCACCACATGTTGAAATAGTCTGAATTACTGGTGGCACATCCCAAAGAAAAGGCCTTACTGCCGATGTCATCCTCTGCTGGGTCACTCACCATCAAGCCTATAAAAAGAAAATTGACATTTAGTTTAAGTTACTGTTAATCTGCAGGTGCAAAGCACCGCTTGGAAAAACATTCCACATTTAAGCAATCTAAACTCAAGAAATGTTAACTCACTTTGAGAAGCTAACCACAGCAATAAGAACTTAATACAACATATTTCACAATGTCAATTTATTTCCCAGCTGAATTGTTGTCTCCAGGTTTGTAGTGTGAACCCACAACGCTTTGTGTCGTCTTCACTGGGCCGTGTGCCTCCAAGTTCTGGAGTTGACGTACTCAGGTCTTCAGGTGCACTGTATTCAACAAATACATCGTTTCAGTTTTACAGTTCCTTTCATGAAATAGTGGTGGCTACAAACAAGACAGCTGGGGGAAATGAACTATGTAAATATTGTCCATCTAAGCCCCTATGCAAAGTATGGGTAGTCCTACTGTTGTGCACATGACCAAAATACACATGAACATGAGTAATAAAGTACTACCAAGTACTAGTACAGTCAATTCTACAGCTCTGTAGGTTTTTGATCACACCACAAGGTCTATATTCAAATTTAGTATGAAGCCAACAAACATGAGAAAACCTGTAATGTAATTAAAAGCACTACAAAAGCTAGTGAATCCACCTCATGAGATCAGTGTCACCTACCTTTATTCATGAAGAACAGACATCCTTCATACAATAAGCCACCACCCCATACACTGCATCCTAAAAACGCCTGCCCAGAACGTCTCTGAAGACAGAATATTTTGTTTGTATGAAGTTACACCATCGTTTCTATTGTTCTGGTGAACTTACCCATCCACAGCTCAGAGAAGGGGTGTAGTATCAATTTGTAAGGAGGGGAAATGCAAGGAATGGGTTTCCCCATTATTGGTGATCTGGAGCGTCTTGTTTATGTAGCCAGAGACCGGATCCTCCGGCCACTGCCCCCTTGTCTGTAGAACAGGAG